CTTTATCTTAAAGTAACTTGTTTAAATGTTTCAGAAGCTGAGCATCTACGGAGATTTGGAATACATGAACGAGCAAAAACTCAGCAGATACCCACCCTCTGCACTTGTTGTGGTTAGATGCAAGGCTGAGGAGCACGAAGAAGCAGGACCTCTTCCTACAAAAGTCAATCTGGATCAATCTGCAATTTAAATCCGTTGGATCCGATAGACTAATTCTAACAGAGCTAGCAACTCCTSATTGATTATGGTGGTTCTTCAGATGAGAAGCTTAGCAGCCAGTCTTTAAATGCAAATAAAGTTGCAGAATCAACAAATGTCATGGGATTTTGTTTTCAGCTAGTAGAGAAGATTCAGACATTCAGACATGAGTTTGTTTGTTTCCAGGCATAATCACTTTTCACTGGTGTTTGCTATGTGTCTTTTTGCTTACARAAGTTGTAAGCATGCTTTCCATACTTCTGCCAGGACACTTTCAAACTTACTTGTGTGTTCTAGGATGTAATGTGTACAGTCAGAGTTAGATTTGTAAAGGTATAAGACATTTTAAGTAGGCAGGAGATGCCTTTCTAGTGTTGCACTTTCTGTTGTAGTTAAGAGAAAATATTATAAAATTATCTGCTGAGTTTTGTTTTTTTTTGTACTTGTTGATGTCCATGCACAAACAACCCTGTCTCCAATAATAGAAATATATTTTTTCTACAGTGTGGCAATATTCAAGGTGGAAAGCATTTGTGAGGTACTGTAAGCTAGAGATCAGCCTGTGAAAGATGGAAACTGTTAACATTTATGGACATATCCCTTCACATGCAGAACATAACGTGGTCAGTTATTTTGTCAAACTTCAGCCTTTAAGTCTTAAATTGCTTGTAAAGTTAGCACWTGTGTTTTCTGAAAAATTCTACTTTCTGTTCTTGATTAACTATTCTGGTCTTGTAACTTCATTTACAGAAACAAGTTGATTCCTGAGAAATGAGAACAGACAAATAAAATTGACTGTATAGAAAATGTTGACTGTATAGCTTTTTGCAATGGTTAATTATTGACCACAGCAGGCTCAATGTGAAAGCCTGTCTGTAGCTTTCCTCTCATGGGCAACATGACCTGATTTTGCTGTGTGATTCCCCAACCCAGCAACAGCAACTAACAATGTCCCTCAYGCCTCTAACCTATTTTTTTGTGGATCTTATTTTAAGCACTGGTTCCCACAGTGTTGGCAATTTGATGGTGTCAGTGATTTATTTTAGGGTCTCTTARTGACTGCTGGCTAGAATACATGGTGTCCAGTTCACTGTCTTTTTTTGTTGATCATACAGAATTCTCTCAAAGGTTTAAAAAAAGGTGACGGAACTGTGGAGATTCTGGGTGATGCAATGATGTGTTCCCTTACTTAAACCTGACTCAGTGGTCATTCCCAGCTTGTCTGTGAGCAGATGGTTGTGTGACAGCAGCTGMTGGAGCCTCCAAGGGGCCATCAGCAGGAATGTGCAGACCCCAGCCCAGCAGCACCCCAGCACTGTGGCTATCAGGAGCTTTCAGACCATTCAGGATGTTTGTTTTAAGCAGGTTTTTCTCAGCCTGGGGGAACTGCAATCTGAAGTTTTAAATTAGCATTTTTTCTTCACGCTGGATTCCTCAGGGGGACAACTCAGAAATGTGGGTGCCAGCAGCCAGTGCCCTCAATGTGGGTGTCATTGCAGAGGCCGTTGTGAGAGGGACAGGGTGATGTTTGGGGATGCTGCTCACTCGGCAGGGACAGGAGATCCTCTGTCAGTGATTCCACAGCAGCGATTCAGCCGCGTTTCTGCTGGCGCAGGCAAAGCCCAGCACGGCCCCGCTCTGCTCGGGGTGCCAGAGCTCAGATCTGATGTGTGCAGCCCTGTTCAGCACGCACTCTGCCAAAGCTGGCTTCACTTCAGGGATTATTGCCCATCTTCTTAGCACTGTGGTGGTTGGAATTTCCAGAAGAGACTTCASCACTCCCCATTTTTCTAACTGAATGGTTCATGGAAATGTTTGCCAGTCTGTTAAAATGTTTTGCTTTACCATTACACGTGGTTGCAGAGRGAGCAGCTCTGTGCAGACGTGGCTCTTTGCCTGTTCCAGCCTGGACAGTACAACCTCTGTTGGGCTGATGACTTGATCTCACAAAATTTAACTCTTCAAAACTCCGTTGCTTACAGTCCTGAGCTCYAGTTTAGCAAACAGCTTGTGTTTCCATTGGGTGTTTTGTCTTTTGTTCCCTGTTTAAATGACATTTCAGCTGAGTGATCTGTGCAGTGCAGCCAGTGATTCAGCAATGTGCTCTTGGGTCACAGAGAGCTCTGTGCCTGTGGCACTCTGGCACTTGGCACTGCTGTATCCAGAGCGAGCCAGAGCCTGAGGAATTGGTAAGTGTTGTACTTGTAAACCCTTGTCAAAAGATCTTCCCTCAGTAAAATCAGATACCAGCAAGTAATTGAACTGTTTCTCAAGATTTCTGATCTAAGTGGGTTCTTTAAGCTATCTTRGCATTTGGCTTTGTAAAATATCATTTCCTATCCATTTTTTGTTAAATGTTTGACTTACTGACATCTCCGTTTTCAGTGGATGCAATTTGGGTTTGATCTCTGCTCAAAACCACTGCTTAAATGAAGGGCCTTAAATTATTGAAATTGCAGGARGAAAGCATTTTATATTCTCTTTAGGCACGTCTCAGCTGAGCCTGTATGAGATTAGAATGGAATCATCTCAACACAAATGAGGTGACCCTCTTTAGTGTGTGCAATTCACTGCTGGCAGAAATAGCCAAAGTACATTTGGGGAAAATAGGAGAGTTTTTAGGTGCTAGAATTAACAATAATTTCCTATCATACTGAATACCTTGATCTTTCTTGCCCTTTCAGCTTTTCTGATCTTTGGCAATTTTTTTTTTTTTTTTAACTTCAGAAGAGCTTGCTTATGTTTCTTACCTTGCTGTCATGAGCTCATTTTTCAACTCTGAGCAGTCTCTGCTTTGGGGTAGCTGCTCCAAAATCCAACTGCCTGGTTGGCCATCGCTGAGCTTGATAATCCTGGAGCAGGAAACAGATGGTGGTAGATGTCAGGTTGTAGAATCACAGAATTATTTAGCTTGGAAAAGACCTCCAAGAATGAGTCCAACCATTCCCCCAGCACCCCCAATGCCACCAATAGCCCATGTCCCCAAGTGCCACATCCACATGGCTTTGGTTACTCCACCACTGCTCTGGGCAGCCTGCTCAATGGCTGGCAGCTCTTTCAGTGAAGAATTTTTTTTTCTGTTACCCAATCTAAACCTCCTCTGGTGCAACTTGAGGCTGTTTCCTCTTGTCCTGTCAGTTGTTATTTGAGAGAAGAGCCTGAATCCTGCCTGGCTCCAACCTCTTTTCAGGGAGTTGTGGAAAAGGCTGAGCTCCCCCAGCTCCTTCAGCTGCTTCTCATCAGACCTGTGCTCCAGACCCTTCCCCAGCTCTGTTGTCCTTCTCTGGACATCTCAGGTGGACATTTGCCTCCAAGGGTGGGTTTACTCCACATTTTAAWCATTTAATTGTAGATTGTTTTGCAGGGTATGCTTAGCTGGCCTGCTTGACCTGGCTCTTACCAGGGCTCTTCTCAAACTCAGTTACCTAAAAAACTGAAAATAGTCCTGTATCAAGTCTGACTGGAAACTAAACCTTCCTCTTTAAAGAACAAYAGATACACAATTTAAGATCCCCTTAATCTGGCATTTTCCTGCATTGCAGCAGCTGCCCAGACTTGCAGGCTGTTTGCTAYTTGACATTAGACATTTTCACTCAAAATCTTCCTAGAAATGTGAGAGTTTTCCAGTACCACCTTTAGTAGTGATGTATTCCTGTGAGAAGCTGCTGTTTTGGACAAATTGGTGCTGCTGCACTGAAGGAGGAGCTCCTACAGGATTGTCTTTAATTCTGACTGGTCTGTGAGGGCAGGGTTGGAGATGTGCTGGCCATGATGAGTGCATTAACATGTAATTAATGTAATTACACAAAGAGTCCTGGGTTGGAATTGAGAGTGGCTTGTACATGAGGGGATGGGGGGGGGAAGTTGGAGCCATTGCTGTTCCTTCACATCAGGCACTATTTGGTGCTTTGAATCAATCCAAGGCAATGTCTCAGGGCCAGTTTAGGGACAATCCAGCTGCCAGCCTTTCTTCCACAGCCCTGGTGAGATRTTTTTGYCTGGGGAAGAGTCATGGTCTGTGRGGTGACAACAATTTGGAAGCACTCSAGTCCTGTGGCCYCTCCTGCAAGAACAACACAAGCTCCTCAAACACTTCATGCTGATGCATTTTCTCCCCATTAGCCCCATGGAAAAGCTGCCTGCTCGTGAAATTTAATCCTCAAAGCTGTAAAACTCCCCTGGGTGTGAGCTGTGCTGAGACCTGCAGCTGGTTTAGAAGGTTGCAATGTGTTTTTAAGTTCATGTTTGCTGCAGGCTGAGCTGYTAAGACTTCCTGTGGGCCTGAAAATTCAAGTACAGAACTAAAAGAGGACCCCGGAGGATTTCCTGTGTTCATTGCCTGAGCAGGGAAGCTGTTCCACATGGCTGTACCATGCACAGATCTCCTGAGATCTCATCATCTGGCAGAAATTGGGACTGGTGCTGCAGTGAGGTCAGGGTGACAGCTCAGTCTTGGGAAGGAGGTGTGGGGAAAGGAGACTTCCATGAAGATGAGCAGATTCTCTTCCCTCAAGCTTTCATTGTGAAAGGGGATTTCCTGTGACCAGCCTGGGGTTAATTCAGCATCAGCAGGGCTTTCAGCTTCCTAAACCTCTGTTTATTTTGTATTATCTAATGCCCTGTTGTGAAACCATGTTTGAGACAAGAGGAATGGGTGAGTTTGTGTTTGGCTTTCCTCGGGGTTGGGCCAGCCCCCTCCTGCCTGTGCTGTGCCCTCCTTGCTCTGCTGCCTCTGTTGGGTTTGTATCCTGGTGACATCGCTCCTGTGAGGTGCTGAGAGCTCCCTGCAGTCCCTGGCAAGGATGAACCAAACTCACCCTCAGGTACAGTCAGAAAAACCCTCAATGCAGCTGTTCCCTGAAGTACTTGTGTTCTTGATAGTTGATCTTTTTATCTCTGCTTTCTGAAGATTTTGAGTTGTTTCTACTTAACCTGATACAAAAGAGAAGTCTTGATGTGAAGCACTGGACTTGGTTAGTGTTTGTTTTACAAACGGGTAATTAAGGTTTAAAAGGTGATACTATTCTTGTTTTGGGAATTAAARCTGGGCCAGGTTTCCACCAAGGCAATTTTTGCTTGTATGTAATAAAAAAGGAGTACATTTTGTATCCCTGGGTAAAATGGTGTGAGRACTAGAACGGCAGAGTTGGTGTGGCTGTGGGATTCTGTCAACAGCCTTTTATCCCTTTCCTTCTAGAGAAACGGTGATGTAGCCACTTTGGGTCCAACAGAGTCCTTCTCTGGAGAAAGAGGTAATGAAAAAAAACCACAGTTTCATTATTAAATAAATAAACAAATTTGAACTATTGATGTAATGTAAAATACAGCCAGTATTTATGGTCCGTTTKGACTGATTTTCCCTCTTTTCTGTGTAGTGCAATGTCCAAACTATAAAATTAATAAATTTCAGCTGTTCTGTGTTGGCCTGGAGCTGGCAGTCATGTATTCAGTGGCAAAATATACATCAGTCATGTATTCAGTGGTGATCCTTGTCTGTCACAGAAAGGCTTATAATGAGTTTATTGTGGGCTTYCCATGGGTCCTAATAGCCAAACTTCACCAAATTTTGCCCACATTTGAAAGAGGAAGTGAGAGCACATAGAAAACCTGTGGAAGTTGCAACATTTCATCCCTGCCATTATTTTATACCCAAGTCTGTAATTGTTCCTGGTCAGAGGTGTTTTGTAGACACAGATGTGCTGTTATTCACCATTTCTCTTCTGAGATGAAATGTTCTGTGTTTGGCTCCTGCTGGAGCATGGCAGAGGGGGAGGTTCTGGAACCAGGATCCTTTTGCTGTTGAGAAAAGGCTGTGCCTTCCCCTGAATTTGAATGATACAACTAAATAAACACAAAGCACAGCCAAGACAAATTCTGACATAAAACTTCATGAAGTTCCTAAAATTTTTTAAAATTCCAATTGAAGTTCTTCAAGGTCTGACACACCAAAATTAATTATAGATGCAGGATTGTCTCAAAGTGACTGGTTACATGTTTCTGAGATGACCACACTAATATTTTTTACTGTTGGTCTGGGAATATGAAGGATGGCAGGAGAACACCGCAGTGGTTTGGGGCAGAGCTGCAGGTGCTGAGCTCAGGGTGGGTGCCTGGTGTTGCTCCCATGGGTGCTGCTGCACTCACTNCTCCTGCTGGAGCGTGACAGAGGGGGAGGTTCTGGAACCAGGATCCTTTTGCTGTTGAGAAAAGGCTGTGCCTTCCCCTGAATTTGAATGATACAACTAAATAAACACAAAGCACAGCCAAGACAAATTCTGACATAAAACTTCATGAAGTTCCTAAAATTTTTTAAAATTCCAATTGAAGTTCTTCAAGGTCTGACACACCAAAATTAATTATAGATGCAGGATTGTCTCAAAGTGACTGGTTACATGTTTCTGAGATGACCACACTAATATTTTTTACTGTTGGTCTGGGAATATGAAGGATGGCAGGAGAACACCGCAGTGGTTTGGGGCAGAGCTGCAGGTGCTGAGCTCAGGGTGGGTGCCTGGTGTTGCTCCCACGGATGCTGCTGCACTCACTGTGGGTTTGCCCTTCAGGTTCTGCTGAAGGTTTGATTTATGGACCTGGCTTTCTGAGAGCTGGAATCCCTGGAGATGGMGTTGGGCAGGCAAAAGGGCAGCTCTGCAGTCCCTGCTCACCGTTTTGTGCTGATAATCCAGCCCTGTTCTGTGGGAGTGTTGGAGTCCTGGTTTGGGCAGGTTCCTAAGTGCTGCAAAATGAAATTTTRCCTCTTGAGGAGTTTTGTTGTGGGCTCTGGGAGGGCACCTGACACTGAGCTGCCCTGTGTTTCAGTGTCACTGCTGTCCCCAGGGCTGGGCAGGGGCTTGGCCTTCACCTGAATATGCAGGACGAGCTCTGATGGAGTTTGTGCTATTCAATCCCAGCACTCTGTGACAGCAGCACAGGTTCTTGTGCACTGCCAGCAGCAAAATCYCCCACGAGGAGCTGTTTAATGTTGGAGTTTGACTATTAAAGCCTAAATATCAACCCCTAAAGCCCATGCAGCACCCTCAGCACATCACCCTCGTGTCCCCGCTCCCCTCTGACACACCCCAGTCCCTTCCTCACCCCCTCACCTCTCTCTTGTGTCCCCCAGGTCGCTGCCATCCCTGTGGTACCCGTGCTGGCTGCACACGGAGACATTTCTGCATCTCTGTCCTGGTCCTGCTCGTCCTCGCAGCCGCTGTGGCCGTGGTGGTGGCGCTGGCACTSCGGCCACGGGCACCAGGTTGTACCCCAAGGGTTATTTTGGTTATTTTGTTGGTGAGGGAGGCAGGAATGTGTGAGCACAGCCCTCTGTCCATCCCTGAGTGCTCAGTGCTGCTCTCCACACAGGGCAGGAGGAGGGAAAGGGCTGAGCAGGGTGACAGGGGCTGGGCCAGCTTTGCACAGCCCTGGTGGCCACCAGCCATTGCCTGGGGCTGCTGTCCTGCTCCATAGGGCTGGGGTAACTCTGGGTAGCACTGGAGATTTAACACTAGTGAAATGGTTTTTCAGACTGCTGTGAACCTTCCAGAGATTAATCCTGGCCCTTGGTTACTTCCAAAACAACAAATCAATTTCTGAACCCCCCCTTACTCCCCATGATCTATTCCTCATATMAAAAAAAATGCCAGAAAATAAAGATTTTCTTGCTTTCCCCTCAGCAAACCGCTTCTGCAGAGCCCCCAATAACCAGACAGGCTTCTTGTGTGAYGACAGAGTGACCTGTGTCCCGGCCAGCTGGGTCTGTGACAGAGTCAGCGACTGCAGGGACGGAGAGGATGAGCAGGAGCAGCTCTGTGGTGAGTGGTTTTGCTGTGAACATCCCCCAGCACTGCTCTGAGCCAGCAGCCGGTGCTCCTCTAATCCCACTCTGCTTCTGGCTGCCCACGTGAGCAGATAAGCCTGGCAGAGCCTTTGTAGGGCAGATGCTGAGGGATGGCACTGCCCAAAACCCAGCAGGAGCGCCAGCAATCAAAACTCCCAGCTCCTCTGACCTTCCTAGGGTTTTTCCCCAAACCATAATGTAATTTTCCTCCATCAGTGATGCTGTATGCCAGCATGGGTTATTTATTGTTTGGTCACCCTGGGGAAAAACTCATTAAAGCCGAAAGCTGGGGCAGAATTCCTGAGTCTGACCACGACCTGCCCTGACACTGCAAGGGAAGTGTCCTGACARCAGCCTTTGGTGGGTGCTATCCCTATTTTAGCAGTTGTGTCTGGGCCTGGTGGAGTTAAGCGTGCCCTGTGTGTGTGTGCCCTCGCAGGTGATTTGCCCCACAGCCTCCCAGGATTCCTGGTTTTCCACTGCAGTAACCCCAAATCCTGGGTTTATGCCGACCAGAGGTGTAACGGGATGAACGACTGCGGGGACTGCTCTGACGAGCTGGGGAGCTGTAAGTCTGTCTGCCTCTCCTGCCTCTCCTGCTCACGGATTGCAGCAGCTTGGGCAGGTGTAGGGGCTGCTGGAAATGCCTGGAAGCATCCCCCACTAAAACACCAAATAATGGGACAGGGTGTGCATATGAACCTCAATCCCTCTGAGGCTTCTGTGTCACCTGGTGGCACCTGGGAGGGGAAAGGCTCCGTGCTTTGTTCCCAGTCCCAAAAGTTGCTCCTCCTCCGTGGCTTSCTGATGTGGAACAGTTTGATCAGGCTGTGTAGCTGTGGGCAGTAGTGACCATTCATTTGGGTCTTTGGTGGCATCAGCAGATGGGTGCATCTCTGAGCTGGGGGGGATCCAAGTCTCAGAAGCTGCAAAATCATCCAGATCTTCCTCTGGCTGAAATGAGCAGCAGGTTTGCTCCTAAGTAACTTGATAGTTCAGGAGAAGAAAAGGGGAAAAAGGAGTTACAGTTAGTTGTTCCTGTCTGCCATGAAGGCCATCTCAGTGTCCCACTCTGGGGTGKTCTCCCACAAGCAGCACCAAGCTGGTGTCTTCTTTGGTGGACTCACAGTCCAAGGTTGGCATTTCTGCTGGGGGATGAGAGGGTTTTCCTATGAAAGGAAGGAGGGAGGGCTCAGTGCAGCAGAAACACCTCAGCTCTGTTTTTTGTCCCTCGCAGTGGCCGCCTGTCCCCCGTGTGGGTGGCAGTGGTGGAGCTGCAGCCCCGTGCATTACGAGTTCTGCTCCTGTGTCCCGCGGAGGCTGTGCCGGGACGGCGTCCAGCACTGCCTGGGCTGGTCTGACGAGTTCCTCTGCACACCCTGAATGCTGGCACCCAYCCCTGCTGGGACAGSAGYGTGTCCCACAGTCACCCTGCAGCCTTGGGGTCCTGCCCTGCCGCCTCCTGGGAAGATCCAGCTCAGCAAASCCTCCCCAGCAGCTCAGGGATGCTCAAAAGGGAGTGTGGCAGCCCTTGGCTGGACCAGGCTGTGGACAGCTGCCAGGACTCTGCTGCTGTGAGAATGTGAACAGTTCCTACATGGGCAGCACCAACCCAGTGCTGTGCAGCTGCTGGGGACACTTCAGCACTGCTGGCACAGCCCTGGCCAGGGCTTTGTCCTCTGTGGCCACTCTGGGGTCTCTGCAGCCAGGGAAGGGACACTGAAAACTGCCCTGAGGAGTGGGAACTGAGTGAGGTGAGCCTCCAGCACATCCTCACAGCTCTGATCCTCACAGCAYGAGGAGAAGCTTCTATTTGTGTTCAAAACCCATCTGCAGATGGTTTCAGCCCTGGCTCTGAGGGCTCCATGTCGCTGCTTCTGGGACACCATGGGTCGCTGCTCTCTCCTCAAACCATGGAGGCCAACACAGAGAATAATGTCCAGGAAAACTGGGCAAGGTTCAGGATTTTGGGGATAAATCACATCTCTGAAAGCCAGGGTACATAAATAACCTGCACTTCCCCCAGGACTGTGCAGTTTTGCAGTAGCAGGTCGAGAACAGCCACGGAGCTGAAGTTGGCAAAGAAAGGAGGAACAAAGAATCGCAGCCTCGGAGCAGAGAGCAGCAGAAAACCAAGTGCTGCTCCCAGGGAGGTGTGGGATGACACTGGATCTGTTTGCTGCTTGTTTTGTTCCTCTGCCAGCAAGGCAGGATCAGGCAGCCAAGCCTTCAGAGCTGTCTCAGGGTATAGGTATGGACATGACACTGAAATTTMAGGAAGATGAGGTTTTCTCTGCTCCTTTGAAAATTTCATCTCTGTCTAGAASGGTGTCTCTGAGGAAAACCCTGCATTTACAGTGAGTACTCTTCCTTTTCTAGGCCCAAAATAAATATGAACTGATCTTTTTCCCACTACCACCCCAGGTCACAGATATTTAAAAATAAACCCCTGTTCGCTCATTTYTTCTCTGTCCTGTGATCTGCAGCTCTGCCTGTCACCATAACTCACATCAGTGGTGGATGTTGCCTCTCATTTGTCGCTGGGATACAGCAGGAAATCTGAGAGACCTTTTATAAATAGCTTTACAGTATTGTGACTCACAGTTCACCTGCAATGAGATGGCAAAACTCTGCRTGGGGGAACGTTCAAGCTGCATTTACTCACCTGTCCTTCTCCAGACCTAGCAAGGGGCACAGCTCGTTTTCTCTGTGCCTGCAAAATGTTATCCCAGTGCAGAAAGGATTGAACTAATCAGCTGTTAAAAAAAATACAGGAACCTTCATGCTCAGCACARGGCCCAGGTAATAGGATTGKTAAAAATAGGATGGGTAAAAAAAAAAATGTGCATCTTTCTATGGTCAGATTAGCAGATCTCCAATGGTGGAAGGGCTGGCCAAAAACTCCATGGCAGCAATTGCACCAGAAGCAGCTTGAGGGGGAATATTGCACATCTTCCTCCCTGTTGAGCCGCTGTTTTGAGTCACAATTTGTGCCATTATTTATCTCAGCTGATGTAGTATTTATCTCAGAGAGCTGATGTAGTCGTCAGGGGAAGCTATTAATAGCCTCGAGTTTCTGGGAAAAGAAAGTAGGAYTTGAATGCAAGTGTGCCTGCTTTGTTTGTGTGTAGTCCTTTTTCTGAGGAAAATTCAGCAGCAACAAAAAAGCAAAAGGGGTTTTGTTCTTGATGCATTTTTAAGTTCATTTTTCTGGCCTCTTCGTGGTTTCTAAGGACGTGCTGCTTTTCTTGTAAATGAATTAGGGGAAACCAGAGTGTGAAAGGAAGATACCCTTTAAAGAAGGACTAGTAGGGGAAACCAGAGTGTGAAAGGAAGATACCCTTTAAAGAAGGACTACTGGGGAAACCTCAGCCAGTTTTGATGGAAACAAGGCAGGAATTCCAATATAGTTACCTGCAGCATCACAGCTGCACAGACACAGAACAGGTCTGAGTGTCCAGGTGTTTCACAGCTGCTCTGCATAATTAATACTGGAATTATAAATGCCCCTCAGTGTTTTCAGATGGAGAAGCACAGTTAGTGTATTGCAGGCACACYGAAAATGGGTTTTAAACCACAGGATGATCTCAAATGCAGCCAATTTGCYTGTAAGAATATATTACAACTGCAGAGCCTAATCTCTACAGTAAYCTCATTCCAGCTCTCATTTCCTGGGCTAAAATGAGAAAGAAAGGGGACTTGTGCTCCACTTTGTGCTTCTGCARGGACTGTTATTGAGGGGTTGCTGTCTCTGCCTGATCCTCTGTGCTCTCTCCATCAGCACAGCCCGATGCTTTCAGGCTGAGCTCTCTGTTCCAGCAGCACTGTAAACATCCCCTGGCCCTTGACAAGCACAGCACAGCTCCATTTCAAGGGAGCTGAAATGATAGAGGCATGAGAGGAGCAAGGACAGGAGCAGCTGTTTTGGTGAAAAACACCTTCATCAGAAGAGTTAGTTAAGGATGACAACAAAAAACTTTATTTGAAAAAAATTATTATGTATTGAAAATATACAGTAGTATATCAACCTTGGTGTTTCTGTCCCTCCCCCAGCACAGGTTACCCTACAGGCTTTTCACAGCAACCAGATTTAACAGTTCTTGTCTCCTTTGTCCCTCCCTCTCAATGTGTCCAAATCCTGTCATCAGCAAGAAAACAACAAACAAAAGACCCACTTCTTTCTGACTCAGTAGGTATTTAACAAATCCCAGTCCTCCACAGTGAGGCACAGATGCTTCTGTTTGGAAGTCCTTTCTGTCTCTTGTTCAGCCAAAGCTCTTTTTTTATTGTTCTTTAATTCGTGGCTGCCTGCAACCTCCTTTTTCAAAGGTAAATGGCAATTTTGAACCTTTTCCTTGTAAAACTGTAGGTTTCCAGATGCTTTAGCTTCTGGCTCCTCCAGCGTGCATTTGACTACTTCCTCTATTCTGCGTGTCTTGCCATCTACAAGCAAAAAAAAAAATTTAAAAAAAATCAAGTTTAGATTTTGGGAGAAACAGAATTATGCTGTAAAATGCATAACTTTGTGGTACAAATTGTTTTGGCCAAGCCAACTTGGAATTGTACAGAGGAGAAAAAATACAATTTTGGACTTTTTAAGGAGAAAACTCAGTTGTATGTTTCCCTAAGCAGGCTGCTGTGTTGTACCTGGAATTATCAAGCAGCCTAACAAATTAAAAAACTCATGTTTTATTTTAATGCAGTTGCACAAAGGGCTGAAGTTGCACACCTGAGATGCTATTGATACTAAAAAATAAAAATATGGAAATTTGAAGAAAAGAAAATAACTGTGGTGTCCATGCAGTTACGTACAGAAGCGAAGAGCTGCTGCTCTGGATCTCAAGTTGTCCTGGGGCTTCATGGCCTCCATAACTGCCTGTTCCCACTGCAGAACTGTCTGAAATAACAGATGAAGGAGTTAAGATGTTTCTTGTAAAATTTACAGAAATATCATTGGAAACAACTCTATCCCTTGTTCTTCCCTATTAAGCATTTTTGTACTCTTTAAGGCAAATTTTTAGAGAGTAAAATGATGTAACCCCTCCTACCTGCTCTGCCCATCCCTCTGTTTTGCAGTTACTGTGATCAAATTCTTTCAGAGGCACTTTTGAGTGAACCAGGCCCATCTGCATTTGGAGCCGCTTAATGACAGCATTGACATCCTGGAAAAAAGTGAAATAGCACAGTCAGAGGGCAAGAACTTTTATTACCCTTGTCCAGCAAACTTAATCCAAGGCTTTTTACCTTAAGACCTGCCCCAGAAATGTCCAAACAGTTCAATTTCTTGAAAGAAAGAAGGTATCCAACTCCCACATCTGTGATTTTAGGGTTACCTGCGARGCCAAGTAAAGTTAATTAAGTTGCATCTTGTGGAAAAAGAGGAACAAAACAGCAAGGAAGTATTTGTTCCAAAGGCTAGTACTGGAACAAGACTGACTTTTCCACTCTTAATTATCAAAACACAAATATTTACAATACCAGTTCTCAAAATATTAAAAACATTTATGTACGTAGCAAGTGCCTGAGGCTTCAGGCCTGCCCTGCCCCTTCTGGCAGGTTCCTGGTGAAACCTGGGGTTGAGCACTTGGCTCATGRGAATCAACAAATCAATTGTGTTCCTTCAGCACTGAGGATAAATTCTTTATCAGAAAGGGCACAGGCTTTTTCTAATCTGAGACCACAAAGCACTTACAGGACAAGTCCAGCACCAGCAGATTCTCCAGCCCCTTTTTCAGCACTCGGACGGGCGCTGTCATCCTGCGCAGGCCGGCATCTGACAGGGAATTGTCCTTCAGGAGGAGCCTTTTCACACTGCCAGGAGAGACACAAACATGGACTTCATGGGCATTAAGTTTAGCAAAATATCTGTTGTGGGTTAAAATTTCAAACCAAGACAATATCCTAAAACTCTGTRTCAGAAGGGTCATCCCGTGCCAGCCCCTACAGTCTTGGTGTAAAAAGCAGCGAGGAAGGAGCCTGGGTTAGCAGGAATAACAAAAATCTTGGTATTTCCTTGCTAGCTCAAGAGAAATGCTGCTTGAGCAGCCATTCCCACAGCTCCAGTGACAAACTGATCCCAGAGCCAACATTTGCCAACAGACACAATAAGCTTCTTTATACCCTCAAGTTCTTTATACCGAGGCTGCCAAACTGAAATGCACTTCAAAACTAAGAAAAATGCTTGGCAAAACGAGAGAGGACAGATTTGATAAGTGATACAGCGATGATTTTAAGAAAATAATGAGGTATTATAACATAGATGAATAAAACTCAGGAAGAAGCATCACACTAAAGCACTCTCTTCAGAGCATTTCAAGACAAAACCTTGATGCAAATTGCACCAAAATCTCATAGCAACATATTATCCCTAACTAGCAGTCATCCTACCTATTGTTTCCAAAATTTTCTACTTCTCATTCTYTAGTATCAAATAAAATTACAGAACTCACTGTTTTTGAGATGTTAACTAACCAAATATTCAATGTCCTGCTTGCAGAAATCTTCATCTAGAACACTAGTTTGGTTAAACATTTGGCTGATAAAGTTCCCCCTTGAATAAAAGGAAATATAAAAGTGTTTCAAGTGCTTAAGATTAATTTTTTTACCTGGCCAATGAAAACTGTAAAACACGAGACTGTAAATTATCTTTAGGTAAGCTTAAATGTAAACCACCATATTTTAGGACTTTTTATAATTCAGTATGTACTTTGTGTACAACAAATTCTGTATTTTGTTTACCTCCAGAACAGGTTTTATGAACAACCAGAAATCTTCCACCTTACACACTGCAGCCTGTGAAACTTCCCTTTAAAGTTTCTGCCTGATTCTTTGAACTGCTTAGTGGTAGGAAAGAAAATGTCATTTTTAGCTCAAGAAACTGGTACCTAGACAGGGCCTCTTTGGTGAGGTGTTCCAGCAGCTCGTGTTCATCTCCAAGTTTACAGCAGGAGAGATCCAAACACGTCAGCTCCCGGAAAGACTTAATTTCTTCAAGCTTTTCAGAGATAACCAGGTATCTGCAAAGCCAAGAAAAAAAAAAAGCCTTCAGTGCTGTAAGGAGGTGTCTATATCCTCAAGTGTCATAWGCACAGTGCACTCATTTGTGCTGAGTGTCAATGAGAAAATTGACAGAAATTATCCAGCTACACCAAGTACCTTTTTATGTGCAGCTGGCACATAATGTGTCTGAATTCCCAGCTTTCTCCTTAAATCAGTCATGGTTTTGCTTTGATGCAAAATATTGGGCTAACACGGCTTCAGCTTGCAAATATCGCTAGCAGGAGCTTCTTTACAGATTATTGCTGTATTATTTCAGAATAATAAAAAATATCCTAGTTTATCATAAGTCAGCTTCACCAACTGCTGTTCCTCTGTGTCTAGGATGGACACAGACATTCATCCAGGTTTAAAACACACTTCAAACGTGGATTTTAAACAGTTCAGAAAGCTTGTCAGTGGCAAAATTTCACTTTTCATAAATGTCAATAAAATACTTGACCAGGGGTAAAAGTCCAGGAGTGGCCAGAGCTGTGGCTACACCCCAGGCAGCAGTTACTCCATGGGTTTTTTTTTTTTTTTTTTAGCTGTGCTGGTTCCCTGGTCTGATTCACTCAGCAGCCACGCAAACATCTGTGCTGGAGCTATTCAGTAGGAGGTTTAGAGATGGGAACAAACCACTGAAGAATGGCAGGCATGAGTATGCAGTAATGAGCACGTAGCCCTCAACACCTCCCCTGCAGTCACCTCTCACTGTCCCTGTGGCCAGACAAGCTCCAAATTCACCAATTTCTCCTTAATTTACCTCATCTTCCCCACGGTAAGACACACTCTGAGGCCAGCATCTTCACTGCATAAACTGGGGGTGATTGACTGATTTGTCCATGTAAATAAGGGACTTTAATATCCTCCCAGTGGAAGTTTACCCATCAAACCACCCCCCTAAAACCCTTTGCTTTGCAATCTGGTTCTGCAGAAAGCACCACAAACAGAGCACAAGCC